AAAGGTGAAGTAGAAATAAATGAAGATGCAGTTGCAGAAGGCATACACTCTTGTGAGACCGTCAGTGTGATTGATCAGCATGTAGCCCACCTATCATCAGATTTTAGTGCTAAACCTGAGCTGATAGTAAAAGACAGCAATGGTGGTGGTCTTGCAGGTGGACAAATTTCTCAAAGCCGAGCAACAACAGCTTCTGATCCACCGCTAAGTTCATCAACTGGTATCAATCAGTCGTCGTTGGTGTTGTCATCCACAATGAAACAGACGCCCATCAACTCAAGTATCTTGTGCAATGACTTTGATAGTATTGGTGCATTTGAAAAGACGAAAGATATTGCTCAGTTTAGTGAGGATAAGCCAAGTGTGAACGAGAGAGTAATTGTTAAATTGACTTGCACGAATAAAGGCATTTCTAGTTTCAAGTTACTATTTGAATGCTATTATCTTTGGTGTAAATTACTCTGTTTCTACGCTTGGTTGACCAGATACTTCGTGTGTTTGTTCGTCATCTATGTTCAACGATACAATGACATGAGCGTGTTACCGTTCAGATTTGAGGATATAGTTGATAGAAGGAAATCAGCAAATGAACTCTGCAACGATTTTCCAACCTAGGGCGTCAACCTGAGAAGGGTTGTAGGCGTACTGCTGTAAGTCCTACAATTCTTCAAAGGGTAGCGCATCGATGAGCAGTACAATGTGCTTGGTGTGTGATTTTGTACATAAGTTCATGTTGTATATACTGAATTGGCATCATCTTTCATCTGTCTGTTGATAATTTTGTTTGTGTCTGGACGTCTTTCACTTGTATCATCAACCTGAGAAGGAATGTAGGCGTACTGCTGTAAGTCCTACAGTTCTTCAAGGGTAGTTTTTCGTGTCAGAATCCACAACATTTATGTGGTGATTGTACATATGTTTGTGTTAAATAGTTGTGTGAGTTCCAATTATTGTAATTGTTGAATAATCTTCTTTGTGTCCGGACATTCCACAACTTACAATGGTCAACCTGTGAAGTTTTGTAGGCGTACTGGTGTTAGCCCTGCGATTCTTCAAAGGCATTCCATCAAGACATGAACTGCGATTTTGTGTGTACTGTTTGTATATATGTGTGGTGTGTCATATTAGTTGATGTTTTCGGATTCACTGTGTTCACTTGTTGTTTTCGTACCTTGTTATTTTGCATAATTTTGTTAAAATTTTCGTCGTGCTTACTTCTGAAGTTGCTTCGAGTCTTCTACATCCGTGAATGAATTGATCGGTGTTAAAGACAGCAGATCGGTCGTATACGCCTGGGAGGTTAGTGGTGAGAATGACGTGCACATGGAGATAAGGATTATCTGTGGAATCAATGGTTGAGAGTGACTGTTTCTATTTAGGCCGTGGTCCCACACGCCGGGGAGCAAGAATGTAGACGACTGAGGCTTGCATACGTCACCGTTACTAGAACTGAGGCGGAATGAGTGACAAGCGATCGCAATGGTAATTGATAGTGAATAGATAAGGGGATGTGCGAAGAGCATCATGAGGTGCTGTTATGATCATGTTGCTTTCCGCAATAGTCATTCTAGCGAGTGGTGATTTTGTTGCAAGATGTCAAGAGGATGTCTTTCACTGGAAGGCGTAGATCGTCTTCGATGAGTGAGATTGTGCTGTGGGTATGCCTGTGGTGTGTTGGGTTGGCTGTTTGTTTTCCATTTCAGCCTTCTGTGTGTGACCCAACTTATCGCTCTGGCCTCCAAGTCAAAGTGTATTGGTCGTGATGGGAAAAGTGTATGGATCCCTTTTTTACCGAGGAGTGTCACTGTAGTTGAAGATTGAACGATCAATTCGTGGTTGTTTGCTCAAGCCGAACTCTATTTTTGGCGGGAGTCATCAATGCGGCAGCCATCCTCTCATCGTTCGCTGTTCGTTGGAAGAGAGAAAACTATCAGAAGTATTATTGTGATTTATTGTTATGATATTTATTCTTAGACTTTTTGTGCGATAACCTGATGATTGGCTCTGGATTGATGCAAGTAAAAACGGTTCTTGAGTCACCAATTTGTGGTTTTTTGCTTTGGTTATTACGCATAGTTCTCGAAATTCTTGCAATGACAATGTGAATTCCAGTGTAGTTTGACCTGGACATTGACATATTGCTTGTGTTAAACAGATTTGTTGTCATGGTGTTTTTTCATGAGCACAGTCAGACTTCAAGGAAGCGAAAAATTTGAGTTAAAAGAATAAGACTTTGTTTCACTGAAGCTTCAGACTGTTAAGATATATCACAGATTAACGGTTCTTAAATAATAAATTGGTGCAAATAATTTTAGCGATTGTTCAGTCCGAAATGACGTCAAGGTGTGAAAAATTAGAAAATGTATTGGATGCTGATCCGTGAGATGTTTTATGGATCTGTAATCGCACCTTGACAAGAAGCTGAGTAGACTTGGAGTTGTTAGGGGCTGAAGCAGGCTTTATTTAGATATAAACGATCATTACTGTTCCCTTATGTTAAGGAACTGAACTCATGTTTAATTATGGAGCTTTCAGAAATTCACATCGACAAAAAGAAGCCCATATTTTCTCTCAAATTTGACCCATATACGTTATTGTCCAGTGGACCGGTGGAACCATCAGCAAATCTGAAATGGAAAAGAGAGTACGTATCTCATCCGCACACCCATCACACTGTCGCATATTCTCACAATTCGACAGTGGCAACATGAACTAGAGCTTGGATTGGGGCTTTTGCAGGTCACTAGATCAATTCAACAACTTTGAATTCTTCACAATATCCTTTGATACTAATATTACCTACGGCAACGCATCTGGCTGTAGCAAGCATGGCCTTCATGGCGATCTATCTTTGCGCATCCCTCACGCAGTAAGGTATAACCATCAGTAGTCTGACAGTATTTTCTCAGTATCATTATCCCCCACATAGACAGGAATATATATTATTATTACCTACGTTTTAGTCCTTCCTATCAACCTGTTTTCCGAATAGGAGAGGTAAGCTAGATATGTGTGAAGCTTGTAAAGTAGATTATGTGTGGCATCCATTTGCGATGCCAAGCGATCTAACTGCTCGGTTCAGGATCATTTGAATTTAGTGTCTATTGATTACTCTTGCCTATGAAATATTTGGAAGTTCATAAAATTCTGCAAGCTGTGGTAAGATCTTTGTGACGTTTGCAGTCATATGCAGTCAGCTTGGGAACTGTTAAGAGATATCGTGACGGAGGTTGTTCTGATCTTCATTGGACGAGCTGTAAATATCATGAATACCTGTAATGTTCAGGTTTTGGTGATTGTAGCACTCCGTCCAATTAACAGTGATATGAAGGATGATGTAGCATATCAGCTGACTTGAACCTCGGCGGTTTAACCGATAATGATCACTTTTGTTATCCGTGCAGAGTGAAACACGGAGGTCAGGATAATTTTCAAGGGACAGGAGTTCAGCAGCTTAGTTGCGGTGTGATTGGCCGCTTGAGTACTCTCTCCAAACCGTCGTCAGTTAATACGTCTTCCAGTAACCGAGAACGTTGTGTTCTCCTTTCGCTAGCTGAACGGGTGTTAAGAACAGCCCTGCAAGCACACTAGGGAAATCAGACAAATAACATATACTGCAAACTATGTGACAGCACTGAGGATGGTGCAAGAAGAAGCGTCATACTCCAATAGAAAGTGCAAACCTGAATGTCTTTTACTCGTGTAAACCAGTTTTCTTTTAATTCCAGGATGCCTTTACAAACACTCCTATCATCTTCTCCTACCCGCATCAGGTATTCTGGACCTTTGAACCAACTACCTCTACAAAGTATGCATATGATGTCAACCAAATACTCAAATAATATATCGGCGTCACAGCATCGGTCTCAGTGGTTACATGGCATGAATGGTAGTGTGATTTCTTCGGCATCCTTGCAAATATCTTGTCGGCCAGCGGGGCAGCACTGAGTCCTAATTTTGGAAATGAAAGTCTTCAAATATAATATGTGTTTTATATAATATTCCAGACAGTTTCATCACAGTAGGGAAGTACATCTCGCTCTTCAAATAAGCACAACCGAATGCTGTACATTCTTGCCTGAGGAAAAACTAGCGCAACATATTGAAGAAGTGGAGCTAAATGAACTAACTGTCATTTCATATTCGGAACCTCTGATCCACTAGCAGCTATCCAGCCGTGAAGGCCTCAGATATTTGCCGTCACTTACTGGCACCCTTAACTGCAGGGACACTTCTACTTTTTCTGATTGTAAGAGAATGTACCTATATATTTGACTAAATTTTGAGGTATTATGATGCCCCAGACAATGGACAAGATACTTTGCAGGACTACGGAAGGTCTAATCCGAGGCACAGAAACGTATGTAAACTGAAATCATTTCTGAAATACTACGTTAAATTGTCATAGCGTGTACAGAGGGTACCAAGACTTCATTCACCATAAAATAACCCTATTTTATAACAAGCTAGTTGAGGTTCTGAAATCCTGTCACTGATCATATTTTCATCTAGCCAGAGCCAGATAACAGCTGTGAGATTCTTGTAAGTTATTTTACGTAGGGTTCATCTCGATTTCCTTCGGAATAAGTAAACGATGCAAATGATGTATCATAAAAAGTTCTACAGAAAACTGAAAACAGAAACCTCCTATTTTGTCAGCTTATTCATCTGAACAGGAAATGATATCAGCCATAAAAATTCAGTTGTTTAGCACTGGAATTCGAACCAGAGGCAGAACACTAAAGTAGTTTCAGTTAAACATATAATTAAAAGGAATTTTCCGAACGCAAACGCAAATAATTAACAATTCGTGAGCAAAAATATCAATTTCAAAGCAAATACACTAATTTAACGTTAAATATCATTTCACTGGTATTTTTGTTTCAATGTTTCAAACTTGTTTGAAACACATGACATTTGTGGATACGCTTATAAAAGTTGTATCACTTTCCCAGTTTTCATCTCTCTGTCTTCACAATCCTTCATTGCTAACATTCACCATGCAGGTCGACAGCCTCAAAAATCTTCAAACTAAAATGAGGAATGATGAAAGAAACCACTCGTTGACAAAAAAGTATTTAACTGATGATATTGTCAACAAGTATCAAGCAACGAAAACAAGTTTGGGTGGTACACTAGCTCAATGCGTAAATACAAGTAGGTTTGCTTAAAGCTGCTGATGTCTTTTCATCATGGATTAGTGCTTTTATTAATTTTTAAAACAGAACTTTGAAGTTTTTGCATACTATTATTGACTACCCGATCACCAGAGTATGATGTCAATATAGTTATTTTGTTGCCTGTTTGATGTTGGGTTGGTTTATCTTCATTTTCGCCGACAACAAATATATTAGAAATTAAATATTGCTTGATCACTATAAGTAACAATTAGTACTTACTACTAATTAATCAAATTAAGCTATACTTCCTCCTGTTTCTTTCAACTTCTGCATTCAACCATATTTTGCTCACTGTGTTGTGATGGAAGATGAAAAACAGTGTTCTTAAGGCAATGATAATTAATCATATTGATTGATTTATATCAGTAAGCTTTTGATATTTTATTTTCATAGTTGACTTGCAAATCTCATTATATGCAATATAATTTAATAAAGCAGAGGGTGAAACTACATCACTGATTGACTTTTTTAGCACAATTTATTACACAAACTGATTACGATGAGCAGCTATAAATTACATTCGAAATTTTACCAGCCGATAATACTGTGTCACTGTGTGTTCTGTTGAGGAATTATACCTTTTGGCAATACTTGGTTCCCATTCTCCCATGTAAATTTTTAAAAATTTCAAAAGTTTTCTTAACATAATTGCAGTCTGAATGATTATACCTCACAGATTTGAGTTTTCTGTCATTACAGATGCGCATAATCCTGGAGCCCTGTTACCACGAGCATGCGACCTAAATGCATACGAGACGTTCAAGGATTTCTTTGATGCTGTAATTGCTGACTACCACAAGGTTCGTGCTCAGTTTTTGACAAATTTTGCTGATTACTTGTTTTCACGTACCTTGTTAACCGTAATAAATAACATTCATATTTATTTTTAGGTTCCAGATGGTAAAATTCATCATCCGAAGTCAAACTTTGGTGATATCAAAAGCCTATCATTTTCTGATTTGAGCACCTATGGAAATTTGGTTGTATCCACCAGAGTACGCCTTGGCAGGACAGTTGAAGGATTCGGCTTTGGACCTACTCTTACTAAGGAAACTCGAATTGAGTTAGAGAAAAAGGTAATTTGAATTTTGGACCTTAATTTTACTATAAAGCTATATTTGTGGTATAGATTACTCACATTTCTCTAATTTTATCTCTGTTGCAGATTTCTACTGCCCTAAAGGGTTTAACTGGAGAATATGAAGGCACTTATTACCCCTTGACCAATATGAAAGAAGAGGATAGAGTCCAACTAGTGAACGATCATTTCCTCTTCAGAAATGATGACAGGTAAGTTTAGGATAGTCTAAAAATACTTTATGGTGATATTTGATGGGATGGCTTACTTACATATCTAACGGAAAAAATCAGGAGAATCATTTAATGTCTCATCTACCTACGTATAAACCCTCTAAAGAGAAATTATTAGAATGGGTTTGTTTCTAAACATGTCGAAAGGTATCCTCATAGATTTTAAACTGAAAATTCTCAGATTTGGAGAGGAAATGACAAATCCATATCAGAGGAATTTATCCGATAAAGCACACAGCTGTATAGTATTAATAACTGGGAAGATTTTATAAAAAGAAAAAAGTGCACATTTATTCCTTTAAAGTTTGATAAAGTCGTTCGGGAGGCATAACAAACTTAAGTTGCACTTCAAAAGAAATTTAATTCTTGGTGTATACTGTTTTTTGAACATGTTTCATGTTACTCTCTTCATTGCTTTGCTCAAATGGCAGCACAATTCCCTCAACGAACAATTAGACTCAAATAACAAGTAAAAACATATTGGTTCTTTGATGAGACTTGAATTTGTTAGCACTTTTGAACGTAGATCCCCTATATCAAACGCTTTATGGTAAAACTTCACGCTATCTTGTTATCATGATGATTGTAGATGAAATGTAATCTAAACTCAAATATAACTGCAAGGGAGCAGAGTGTTAGCATCCATGAGTTTTCGGTTTTAAGAACAATCTTGAACTCACGTTGCAAATTAGTTTGATTCACCTACACAGTTCTTTCCCTTAACATACTAGGAATATATTCAGTCATGACCTATGTTTAATCAGTTACTTTTGATACGACATTATTTTGCATCAAAAGTATAATTTAAAATTATCTCAATTTTTATTCAGTATCCTACATATGTCTTTTAATTGTAAACTGTTAAATTTGTAGTGTGCTAAGAGACGCTGGTGGATACATCGACTGGCCTAATGGTCGTGGTATATTTATCAATAAACAAAGGAACTTTTTGGTATGGATCAATGAAGAAGATCACATTCGCGTTATCTCAATGCAAAAAGGTGGTGATCTAATTGAAGTTTACAAGCGTTTAGCTGGAGTAAGTTTTACAGCTTTTATTATCCTATCCGCCAGTTGAAGTTTTTTAAGCCTTAGCGTGTAACTATATACATGAGGAATTAGTGAGTTTGAACGTCAACGGCGTGTAACTTTAGGGAAAGAAGTATTCAGGCAAGTTAGGCCTTCGCCTTGTGCTATTATAGAAAAGCTCAGTCCTTTAAAAATGTTCCCTTTGGATTCTAACTGCTGTCATATAAATAAAACGAAACCAGGGAATGACTAAAACTTTACTCGCTTAATATTAAAACTGGTTGTTGCTCTCGATAACTTTGTAATCCTACCAACTAGATGAACAGTAGATTTTAAATAAAGATTTCGGAAGTAGAGGTTTCTATCAGTCATCTTAATTGCTGAATAATATTTATCCCTTTAACATGAACTTCTTATTCGTACAATAGTACTTTGACAGTATTCGTTTTAGAATTGCTGCATAAAAATATAAATTGAGATATTTCAAACATTCGTAAAATTAATATGGTGAAGATGTAATGATTAGGCCTCCATTTTCGTCGTAGTCAAGAAGGCCATAGTTTGGATCACAGATAATTATAAATTTTCTAATACTTACTACTGTAAACTAAATATTTTCGTGAGATCATTTATGACGAAAGGCCTCTTAGTACTCACATAGTCAGTGTCTTGTTGTGTTTATCATACACTGTTGTAGTTTTGGGTTCTTTTTTTCCTTCACGTTCTCAGTGGAACATAGAGCAGTGGTATTTATTTTCACCGAAAGGGGTTGCTAGCCTCATACCCAGCCTTCCCTCTTTACCAGTCTTACTACTGACTTAGTGAGATAAATGAGGAGTGTTTCTATCTGAAGCTGTTTTAGGGTATGATGGAAAGCGTAATGAACCATAAACGCCTGGAAAAAGGAATTGTCATCATATATGAACTAATCAACAAAAACGATGGAAAATGTATTTAGACTAACTTTATATCAGGGATTGTGTAAGATCACAAAAGATTTAAAGAATTTAGTGAAATGAAAATGTCACTTAATCAATATTAAGTGGGAGATTCATACATCCATAGTTATCATTTGTTATTTTTTACTCCCAAATAGAAACTACTAAAAATTTTTACTATGTTCCATCTTTTGTTTAATTATTCAAGGCAATACAAGAATTGTCGAAATCACTGAAATTCGCCTTTAGTGATCGTTTTGGTTTCATCACATTCTGCCCATCGAACTTAGGTACTACATTAAGAGCTAGCGTCCATGCAAAAGTGCCAATGCTTGCTTCATTGCCTAATTTCAAGGTAAGTTAAATTTTCGGTATTGGTGTTTGTATATAAAAACATTTTGTGGGGTGAAAACTTAAATGTGTGTTTGAATTTTTTTCTATCGGATTATAAAGACTATAATCGCTTGTAGTAAAATAGGATTCAGACATCAGATTTTTGTGTGAATGGCTTCAGCTGAATGTAAGATGACTCCATGGGTGGTGATTATCAACATTTTAACGTGTAACTAAACAAAGGTTAACATTCAATAGCTGACATCTTCCATCTTCGTTAGCTTCATAGTATAAGCTTTTCTGTTGGCATTATCAATGCTATCTTAAATGGAAGTATTTATCGTCATTACTCCCTTCATCTTGCCTACACTTTTAAATCCTTCAATGAAAATAAAAGTATAAGATTAGACATTGGAGCGGTTGACACAACATAACTATGCGGTGTTAACAGAAGTATACAAGTAGTTTCAAAAACTCATACTTCTGTTAATAAGCTTTATATACATAAAGCAGGCCACTTCTGTTTCATGCTCCTTCCTACTGGTTTCTTGTCCTTTTTTCTTTTATTTCAATATCCAATGCCTCACAAATGTGAAGTAGGTCCTATTATATGGGTCAGATACCCGGCGTTTCACGAAAATGATTCCCAACAAGCTTCAGACTTTTATCGATAGCTGCCCCCTTCACTCCATACTGAAGATCAAATTGTAGGCCAGAAAAAAATAAGCTACGAGCTCTGTCTGTGAACAAACCAACTTAAAGCCGACTGCTCAAAAAATATGTAGGAGAAAATAGAGATGGATTGAAATACGTTGAGGAGGCCGTTGAATGACATCACGCGCAATTCAAGCCATTGCTCGAGTGGGAAAGCGACGAGTGCGATGTCAGTACGGTAGTGACATGGAGGAGACTGTGTGGGGAGAAGGCGACAAGATATTATAGGCAATATGTTGTGCAATATGTTGAACGTGTATCTATCCTCACATCCTACTTTGTGAACATCGCTGGCCATTACTTCTCACTAAAAATTCAAGCAACTCTGTCTTGTAGTGAGTCACTAGTAACCTCTAGATTACTTCTTCAAGTGTCTGTTTCGTTTTTTTTAAATTGATATTCACAGGAAATATGTGAGAAGCATGGTATTCAAGCTCGTGGTACTCATGGTGAACATACAGAATCAGTCGGTGGTATCTACGACTTGAGCAATAAACGTCGTCTTGGTCTTACTGAACTTGAAGCTGTAACTGAAATGCACACTGGTGTTCGTGCTCTCCTTGAACTTGAAATTATGCTGCAAGAATACAACAAAGGCGCACCAGGTAGTTTATACTGGTTTTCTATCTGTGGTGTGAATATATAACAGGATATGCCTAGAAATATCGGGTCACAGTCTAAATGTATTGCTAATCTGTGTTACAACACTGAAATCTAAGGAAATAAGTGATGAAGTGTGATTTATGGATGTTATCTCACTATCCATGATTGACTCGACTGAAATCAAACGACTTGATAAGTGTTATAGCAGTATGCTAGTAAGACTTCTGAAATTAATGTAGTTGACAGTAATACAGACTGCTAACGTCAATAAGTAGCATACAAACTATTCAACTGAATTGGATACGATAATTACATCGTGTACATATTAGTGCTTATTTTTGTCTGATATGACTGATAATGAGCGGATATGATTACCATGGTAAACGATTTCCTTTTCTTTGTTTTACCCCTTTCCTGTATTATTTTACAGCTGGAGTTATGCCAGTTGAACCTTTAACTTATCTGGCAAAACTTTTGGAAGGTGCTCCAATTGAGAAGTGTTACACTCGAAAATGTTTAACTCCTGAAATCATTAAGAAATACGATGGAAAACGAACTACTCATGGTGCTACTCTAGCACATATGATACGTAACTGTAAGTTGTTTTTTTCGTTCTTTTGTTAGTAATAACTTTTGAATTTTATTTACTTTCTAAAACTGTTTAAGATGACATCATTAGTTTAGCAAATCTAGGAAAAACGACAATTTCATTTATTGCATGTTTCGAGTACAGTATTTACATCTTTAGTCCAGTATCTGTCTCCGTAAAGTTACTCACTTAGTGCCGCATTAACTACGTGAATATTCCTTTACATGGATCTAGTTTTAAGACAGACAGACAGACGTTATCAGTGCAGAACTTAGTGTCAAAAACAAAAGTCACAAATTGCAACAAAAAAAGGAAAGATAGACTATTATGATGCCTGAGTTCTATTCTTACACGACGTATTAGATTTAAAATGCATCTTTGTCACTGTAATTGATTCTAAGCCATATCAACTGGAGTTTTCTGATAGATTCTGATGACCAAATGGAGTTCATACAGGGAGTCACCACTTGATTATGTGGTTCATAATAACAGTTTTTATTGTATATCTAGTCTGACCATCCTTTTGCTTCCTTTCAACTTAATCCTACTCAAGGTGTATAGTAAATAGGCATATTTAATGCAAAGTAATTTTCAGCTAGTGGACTGCCACATTACCCATTTTTAGTTTTCACCAACATAGTTAATTACAATCTAATTTGAAAGGTCATGGATATATTGATTTTCTTTGTCATTTGACCCCTAAGAAAACGTGTGTCATTGTTTGACCTCTTATCAGTTTGACCCTTGTCTCATATCTAGTTTTATGTGTCAGGTTATTCATTCCACTTTGGTCTTAGTGTTTTTTCTTAAAGATATATGTTTTATTGTGTCTTTTTGGCATGACTCATGTGAGAGAAGAATGAGTGATAGTCAGTATGAAAAGTTACAAGCGGTTTATCTTTGGTGGAGGTGAAATTTATTTTTGTAAAGGCAGTTTTATAATGGCTTGTTTCTTCATCGTCAATTACAGTCACTTTTTATACTGTATGGCATTAGACAGGATTCTCATATGACAAGAGAAATCTGACGTATAATACGCAAGTAGAACTATGTATTATGGTCGAAAATAGAGTAAACTATCTACATGATTGGGCTAATTTTAAAACAAACCATAATAACTACAGGGAATCATCTCTCTAGAAAAACTTTGTGACAGATCATAAGTTCGGTAAATACATATTCTTTTCTATATTCATAGTATGACTATTTAATTTCCTTTGGACTATCACAACCTTTTTATTTTATTTTATTTTAAGGTGCATACAACCATCGTTCTATATGCCCAAGAACTGGTGAAGCCGAGTGCTATTCAACATTTGTTGATTACTTGGATCCATTGATTTGTGCATATCATAATGTCAAAGATCCTGCATTTAAACATCCTGCACCAACATTTGGTGATTTGTCAAAACTTCCATTCGGTGATCTTGATCCGTCTGGTAGGCAGGATTTCTGATTTTGTTTCTTTGTTGTTGGGGAAGTTTTCTTTCATCCAATGTCATTACTATGTACTAAAACTTTCTCTGTCTCACAGAAGTTCGTTTTGAAGTCATACAGACAATCAGGACGCTAAAGTTACATAGTGTTCATTTTGTCGCATAAATTAAAATGGAAATTTCAACTTGGCATATGACCTGTTTATTTCATGAAGTATGAGCTCAGGCTATTTTAGAAATATGAGAGACGACATTTTAACAATCCGACTGTTTATAATACGTTGGACATGAAAATATGGTTTTTGTCTGAAATAATGAATGAAGTAGATATATTTATAAGTATATATATTTAAAAAATCTCTCTGTTTGCATGTTAAAAGACAAATCTTACACAGGAAGAAATGTACAGGAGTTGACAGAATTGTGCCTCTTTCCATTGTTACCAAAGGTTGCAAGTATGTTTAAGAGTAGGCAATAATTAACCTGCACAACACCAAAGTAGCCAGCGACATCTCTACATGTAGTTATATTACTGTCAGATAGCTGATTGTGTAATCAAGTGGATGCTTTCAAGATACTGGCTGTCATTTGAATGAAGAATGATTTTCATAAACATTAACTCATCCAATGTGTATGTGTAGTATTCCCGATCATATTTATTTTCATTACTTTTTTTATAGGTAAATATATTGTGTCAACACGTGTTCGTGTTGGCCGTAGTGTTGAAGGCTTTTTATTCCCAACTATTATGAGTAAAGAAGAACGTATAAAGCTGGAACAGGTTATCTCTGGTGCATTGAAAGGATTGACCGGTGAACATGCTGGAACATATTACCCATTAACTAACATGAAAGAACAGGATAGAAAACAATTAGTTGAAGATCATTTCTTGTTTAAAAATGATGATCCGTAAGTAGAATTGTACTTTTATAGATTTATTCTCTTTGCGTACTTAAAAACCAATGAATACAATATTTAAGTACATCTATTAGTTCTAACAAATAATGAAATACAGTTTATCACTCATAATTGTATCACATTTGATATGATGATATAATGACTGTGTCTTGTGACACAGTTGCCCTCCGTCGCTGGGATTACTTAAGTACCAGTTATAACCGAATGTATACTATTGATTGATTTCAGTAGTATAATACAACCCACGTTAACAAGCAGTCCTTACTAATCAGAGTTAAATATTCTAATGACTGGATCTCTGGGAGCGAACCAACCCAGCAGGAACCGATTGTGAAACAAATAGGCAGGAAGAAATAGAGATGGATTGGCCATACTCTGAGGAAACCATCAAATGACATCACTAGACATGCCATCGCTCGGGTGGAACGCGAAAGGGAAGCAGCGAGTTGGTCGTCAGTGCAAAAGTGACTTGGAGGAGGTCATGTGAAGAAGAAGTGACAGCACGTGGGCAGACTTGGAGCGGGGTGAAAAAGTTGGCAGGAAACCGAACGCAATGGAGACGCGCGGCTGAAGCCCTATCTTCGTCCAGGAATTAAAGGATACAATAATAATATTATAATAATGACTGAATGGCCATTTGTTTGTCGTGAATTAAGAGAAGTAAGGTGTGTGACTTTAGGAATTCTTAGGAGTGTATTTAACTTTCTACATCTGTTTTAAGCATATTATTTTAGTTTCATAGGATTTTAGACTGGGGGAGGAAGGGTTATACATTATTTTTGTTATTTTTTATTTTCAGTGTTTTACGCGATGCTGGTGGTTATCGTGACTGGCCTACTGGACGCGGAATTTTCCACAACAATGCAAAAACTTTCCTTGTTTGGGTTTGTGAAGAAGATCACATGAGAATTATTTCAATGCAAAAAGGCGGAGATTTAGCTAGCGTCTACAAACGCCTGATTGAAGTGAGTCGAAACTCAATTTAAAAAAATAGTTTCAAGATGTTAGTCAATGATCATAAAAAGTTCTACTCGGCTGAGTGCCTCCCTAATTCTCTTAGCCATCATAAAATTATTCGGTATTTAATTATCGTTTGTTTTAAAATCTGTTTCATCCAGCTTGCTTTTTACAGTTAGTACATGTTAGAATTATCTGACCATTCAGTGGAGATATTTATAGAACTACAGTTGGAGTGAAGATGGAAAGTTAGTTAGATAAAATCTTTACAAATATACCTTTTTTTTCAACACAGTCTGACTTCAGTGATATTGACGTAATTTAAATTCCCTCCAGAAATGAGTGAAGTGAAACACAGTTTGAAGCTAACAGTCAGTCAATGTGTTTTTATATCCGTGGAATTTTGTTCAATAAGACTTTAAGGGGAAAGTGACTATTGACCAGTTGATCTGTTTTGACCAAACCAAATTCTGACAATTTTGGAAATTAGAGTCGTAATCTGATTTGAATATATATATATATATATGTAGGCACTCACCTAGAGTATTTAATTGGTGGATGATGAAATTTATGAAATTCATCATGATCGCTAAGCCAGAAGTGATGATGATAAAGAGGAAAGGTTGGGCATGAGGCTAGCAACCCCATCCTGTAAAATAAACACTGCTACAGAAACTTCAAGCCACTAGCTTGAGGCCCTATGTTCCACTGGGAACGTGAAGGAAAACAATCCAAAATTTGCTTAGTGATCTGTTAACTCAGTTAAATCTACGACTATTACATTTCCTATGATTCACGGTTTCTCCACATATCCTTAAAAGTACTTACATAGCAGACTATCTATAATCTAAAGAACATAAAGTGCTATTAATGTAGTCAGTCAGAGTCTCAAGTCTGTAAAGGTTACAACTAGAAATATATCAACCTTGCTGGAAGTGTTATTAAGTTAGATGGATTTATTACCAGTTAAGTTGTCTAAATTACTATACTATACTATACTATACTATACTGTTTCATATTCTTGTATTTCTTTTAAAACAGGGAATTAACGCCATCGGAAAGAGTATGAAATTTGCACACAGTGATAAATATGGTTACATCACTTGTTGTCCATCCAACCTGGGTACATCTATGCGTGCCAGTGTATTGTTGAAGATACCAAAACTTAGTGCTCAACAGAAAAAGTTAGATGAAGTCTGTGCACAATATATGCTACAAGCTAGAGGTAGGTTTATTCTACGTATTATTATTAATGTTTGTTTTGTGCAGTCAGTTACATTGTTCTTACTAGAAAGATACATTTGGATAAATTATTGTCTCTTATTATTCAGAAAAGTTTACTGAAATTAAGAAACTGAATACGATCACTTAATGGTAAACAAAAATTCTCAGAGTTCAGATTTCCAATCGAAGGATTTTTAAAAAAATGATTACATATAGTAGTTGGAAATGCTTATTTGAAAGTTATTTCGGTCTTTTTTGATCAAATTCGTTAACTCATAGTAGTCGAATTGGCTAATAGGCCTACACTAGAGAACAACAAATAGTCCGAAATACGTTTGCGTAGAAATTCTAAAAGACATTACAGCAGTTCAAGGGTACAATGCAAGAGGTCTGCATTCAATCCCCGGCCAACGTACTACTAAACCTCACCTAGCTTATAGTAGGCACAGAAAGGAGAAAAAGGTTGAGTGTGAGGGTAATAGTAGCACCGCATAACAGCCACACATGCTGTATTTAAACTTGAAAGCCTAAGGCTTGAGGCCACACGTTTCACTCGAGACGCAAAGAAAACTCTCAATCTTTGGAGGTTTTACTCGGTCTTTTGAGCAGATATTCAGTCTACAAACAATCGACCTTTTGTTATCTATCAGTCCCTGTTGCAGAGTTTTGTTGGTCTATTATTATAGCTTGATACCACACGGTATATTTGGTACAACTGTGGAATTTTCAGCATATTATATCAGCAGGCCGACCACTGATATCGGGTGTGCGTCGCCCAGGGATCGAACCCCAAAACATGTGCATGTTAGGCGAGCGTCCTAACCGCTGTGCCACCGACGTACACCTATTAGTGACCATCACAATTTAATCTCCTAATTTCTAATGTTCATATATAAAATTCTCGAACAGATCACCAAAGTATTCCGCTGAAGTGTTACATTTTGGAATTTTAAAGTGTCTTCTTTTCCTCTGTCACTTATTTTATTACACACTTAAAATATCTATAAAATGAAGCGTTACTACAAATTTTGTATAACTAATTCCTATGTTTCTTTTCTCTTAAAAAAAGGTTTATACGGGGAACATACAGAATCACCAGATGGAACATATGATATCAGTAATAAACGTCGTCTTGGCTTGACTGAATTACAAGCTGCTCAAGAAATGGCTGAAGGTGTGGCTAAAATGATTGAAATTGAAAAAGGATTGTAATAACAAAAAAACAACAACCAATAACAACATTAGTGTAATTCAAATAAACGCTTCTGTTAGATAAACAAAAAAAACAATTCACCAAGTACCTTCTTCTTCTCCTATTCTTTTTCGTCTAAACCCCTTGTCTATTTTTTTTCATTTAGATGTTAAAAAAAATCATTTTCCAGTGTAGTTTATTTTAAATGAAAAAATAAATAAAAATAAATTCAATAAAACAATGGATTTCGAATTTGTTTTTCAAATTACCTAAGAATTGGATTTGGGCACTGCGGGACAATTGAATTCCAAGTTCGATGAATAAATTTAATATGAGAGAAAACAATTCAATGATTTAATATGACCCGTTGTACAAGAGGGGGTTGTCGTGGTCTAGTGGATAACGCTTTGGCGTTTGAAACTATGGGTAGTGGGTTCGAGCCTCTGTGGGAGCATCATTACTCACTGAGGAATGTAGGTACATCTAGATGACGAGTCTCAGATAGGACAAAATGCGCATTGTCCTGGATTCCACTGCTGGTCACCATCCATCAATTAACAAATAAAAATCAGTTAGGTCTATTTCAGAATATGGTATGCGATGAACAATCAGACTGTAATTAGGGCGTGTGTGTATGTGAAGATTAGCGAGTGGAAAGTAGGATTACTTAATATGAAAAACGCCCAGAAAATAAGATGTTGATGAAAGAGTATGGAGGCTAATATCCAAAATAAATTATGTAGGAGATAAAAACAATAAATGGAAGGTTAGTTAAGAAAAAGAAGTTGTTAAAATGTCCTACGAAAACACCAATAATAAGGAATCTAAATCATTAGTAGTAATTCCATACGAGGAAGGCACCTCGGAAACCTTACGTTGAATTCTTAACAAGGCAGGAATAAAAGTGGCTGGCATTCAAATCCACAAACTCATTTAGAAACAAGCTTTGTCGGTTGAAGGATCCTGTGAAACAGCCACCTAAACAAAACAATTTAGTTTATCTAATGCTCTGCTAAAGTGATTGTCAGGTCAAATACATAGGTCAAACTAGTAGAACAAGGGCAGTCAGACTAGCCGAACATAAAAACGTAGCAAAATCTAGATTAGTTGACTCAAATAAGATAAGAAATCTAAAGAATAGTTCAGCTATACCACTCACTACATGCAATTACACACAACCATACAATAGGCTGTATGGGATAAGATGACAGTTTTAAAATCTAATGTAACAGCTGGGTGGAAGGAGAGATTGATAACGCAAGCTTTGTTTATTGAATCAGCTGCAAATATGTGTAATAGGAATGATTCAACACTTATCCAGTTGGATATCTGGAAAATTCTACTACTCTTATGATGACAAATAGGAGAAGACAAAGAAAACTATAAAACTCAAGTTTCGAAGTCGTGTGATTAAAATTGATGTGATTATGAACAATAAATTGTGTTCGAAACCTCGCCATCCAGTAAATAATACTGTTTTACTGTGTGATAAATCTAATAAACAAACTAATATGGAATTGCCTGCTAATTTGCTTTTTGTACATTTAATTCGTTCAGTTTTTAATATAATTTTCCACTTATACAGGATGACGCGATGTATTTGGTATAGTATCCTAGTGCATGTACATATTTCAAATAATAATAATAATAACAATAGTTAAACATCGAATACAAAAAATAACTGGAGAATAAAGAGCTCAGCTTCTGTAACTATTGTTTGAGTAGAAATATGGGAAGTCATAGTCACACGTATTTCTTCTTCAATGATTATTTTTGGATAGATGTAAACTATGACTCTGTAAGAGACCTTTAAGGCTGATTGTATTAAAGTCGGCTGAGCTTAATCTATGCAAAAGCTTGAAACTCTCACCTCCATGCAACACAAAGACAGACGACTGTTCATACATGATCAGCGGGAAGAGTATCTTAGGCACACTTTTATGATAGTGAGATACACATAGTGTTTCAGTTGTATCATCCCGCTTACATTTATGTTGTCATGTCTTAAATTTCCTGGAAATCTAAATTCGCCTGTCTAGCTACCAAAAACAAACTTCGGAAGGAAATATTTCCTTCCTATGCATCTTTGCATTATATTCCATATTGAGTAATGTATCAGTATACATACTGAGCGTTCTGACCATTTCAAGTCTTTACTAAAACTATACACATAATGTCCAAAGTACATTTGGTATTTTTCCGCACTGCACAACATACATTTCCCAATGCTGGTTAATTTAGGTCGTTATTACTGGTAGTTGTATCAATACAGGAAATAACAGTCAATTTATTGTGTGTCTCCTCAGTTAATGATTTATGAGTACTGGCTACAATAAACACCAAGATAGCTATGCTCTCTCTCTCTCTCTCTGTCTACATATACATATATATATATATATATATATATATATATATATATATATGTATATCCATAAAATTTTAAAGCGTCTATCATCTGTGTTTTAGTTGTAGTCAGCTATGTGTCCGTAGATTTTAATTTCTACAAGACGACACTTAGCTGCCGTCGCTCTATAAAATATGTGTCTGTCACTAAGATTCGATTTGGAAGAATACTGATTAAACAAACTGGTTCCATATGTTTGACAATGGATTAGAGTAGCATTGTTCATAAATAATATACCCAGACTGAATGAAATTGAGGTTTTATGATGAATTGTAATAAATTTATTGATCTACTTCAGCCAAAATGACGAGTAGGAAGGAGTATGATATATGCTTAGCTCCTTCTAACTCTAAATTTTTACTGCCTTATTCTCATACAGCTAAGTTGCTTATTATTCGAATGGTACTGTTAGAAAGAATAAAGCTGAGGCTGTCTTACACTTCAGTAATCTATAATTCATAGGTTTATTGTTTCTTTCCCGAAATGTTCAGCTCGCTTGACATGATGTTTATCATTATTATTATTTCCTTAATTTCCGAGTGGGACATAGGGCCTCGACAGCATGTCTTCATTTCATCCTGTTCTGTGCAACCTTTTATATCTGGCCCAACGATTGACCATAAGCTCTCACCTCTTCCTCATACCATCTCCTCCACATCACTCATCATTTTCTATCCGGGCCCCACTCGAGGGGTTGCCAAGCAGTGTTACTCGACAGTCTCCTCAGTGTCTGTTCAATTTCTATACATTTCCTTCCGCATGTCTGTTGGGTAACAGGTACTTGGCTGGTTCATTCCCATAATTCCTCGATATTAATCTCTTCTGACTATCTGACCTTCATTTTGGAGCGAAGGTGGCTCTTGATAAAGGTTTACAGTGGCCTGTTTGAAATGATTTTGGGTGGCGTACAAAGTCTCTGAACCACATAAAAGCACTGACTGACTTGACATTAGTATTGAAAATCCGAATCCCACTCTTTTTATGATTACGTTCACTGTTGTCTAACTAGCATAACTTTCAAATGAATAGATTACTACTGATATTATATCCAGACCTCTGGATACTGTTAGTTGTTTTTGTTAGCTTACAACCAAAATAACACCTTAAATGTCAAAATTTACACAAAATGAACGCATAAATCAAGCGATCAAGGTGACGTCAAATGGATATCAGTGTTATTTAGCTGAAATTAAAAAAAGGCTGAATGAATATAACTATATGGATAGCTAGTCAGATTACAAGAATATTTTGCTATTAAGAAAACAAATTGCTCGTAAAAGACAACAAAACAAATGTGTGCTATACAAAAATCAACAGAGTTTAAGGATTCATTAAAAAAAAGCCAGGCGAGTCCATGGTATGAATCCCAATATAGGTAATATGAAGCATTAAAACAAATGATATTTTAAGACTGATAGTAACTGAAATATACAATCATTGTTATGATAAGAAAATGTGCACATATGTAAGTCCTGTTTTAATAATCTAATATCTGCAACTTCAGCAAAATGCTACAGATTCACCTTCTCATGTACAATAACTGACGGGATTTTGGTTTTAAACCTGTTGTCCACCGAATAATGAGAATTTTGGAGCCTGGAGAAGGAAAGGCGAACTGTTCCTGCTAAACTAAATAAAGGAAACTCCACAGAAACTATACATAAAATCCGCCTACTATTGAAAATTAGTGAAATTCTGGAAATTTTAGTCAAAGAGAATGTTAAAAAGTGAATATAGTAAAGAAAGAATACACTGCAACGCACAAATCCGATATTTTCATGACATATATTAAGCAATATAAATCGCATAAAGTACTTCTCATCTTGTTATTTGAGCTGGATGTCCCATCTGAAAAAAATAAAATAATCCTAACCATTATGTGAGTTTAAGTTATACTATCAGAAACTGTTTACTCTTCATTGGCAAGTTGATATCCAGTATGCGTCTGAAGACGTTAAATAAATGTCGACTTAACTATGGGCAATTTATCCAAAATTTGATAGAAGCGTTTCTTTCCGTTGGTTTGACATGGTCAGAAATCAGTGGTTGTCAAGTGTTATTTTGCAGGGATTTCATCAGTTACAGGATTAACCGCGAATTGACATCAGTTACAGAGCCATTGTAAAACCAAAGAATACTGCACAGCTGTTTCACTCTAGTTTGGGACTCGTCATCTGGAGGCACCTACATTCACCACTGAGTGATGATGTTCCAACCGAGGCTGGAACCCATCGCCCATAATTTCAAACGACAAAGTTTTATCTCCTAGAAAACTTGGGCCAAGAGAGCCACGTCTTGTGCAATGGCGTTTGAAATTATGGGTACTGGGTTCGAACCTTGGTGGGAACACCATCACTCACTGTGGAATGCAGGTACCTCCAGATCACGAGTCCCAAATAGGACGAAATGCGCGTTGTCCTGGATTCCACTGCTAGTAACCATCCACCAATTATCAGTAGAATATTTCATTCTGTTCGCATTAACACTCATTTCTCGTTTACCCAAGTTTACTGACACCGTGACCGTTTATGCATACATGTAAGAACACGAATAAAGACAGTATACAATAATTCAAAGACTTTAAAAGTTGTAATAATTTGCATCGAGGTCACGCAT